AATCAGCAGAACGAGCAACTAGTAGTGCAAAGGTCAATGTCGATTCTCGCTCGATTTAGGACCACAAAGGGTTAAGAGCTCGTGCAGTGGGCGATCAAATTACGAGAACCAGATGCAGCGACTGCAATTAGCAAACACCAATGCTTCACGGAACGGTCACGGATGTTCAGCGTGTTGCAGCCAGATAGCGGATTTGATGCGTTCTTATTGGAAACATTATAGATAAGAGGAAACACAGGATATCGGAAATATTGGAAGAATTTAAGAGCGCCGTTACATTGTCTTCAATCGATTAAAACAATTCAGAGAAGAGATACATTTTCATTCAGCCCCGGTTTCGTACAATTACCGAACGAAACGTTTATTTTGCACAAAGATTCGCTGCTCCAGTTATTGCTAAACGAAGAAACTGAAATAAGTCGAATATAAAATAGCAGAAAGTCGATTAAAATTATTAGGTGAAACATCGAGAATTTCGCGAAAACGATGAAAGAATGAAATCATTTATTTGCTTGCCATTCGCGCGGATTCTAATTGTTCCCCGGCCGAACTTGGCTTCCGAAAAGCCGAACTGAAAATAAAGGGGACCCAGTTGCTGTGATTTCAAGGGACGGTCTCGATACATCCGGCGGCGCGAATAAACATTCCCTTTCAAATTTCGAGTGGTCATACTTTCGCAACAACTATCCGAAGTTTCGTAGTTTCGATCTGTCCCGTTTGCTTTCAAATCGTCGAGAGAGAGAGAGAGAGAGAGAGAGAGAGAGAGAGAGGCACAGCGCTAGATAAACCTCTCCTCGCCTTTGCATCACTTTTTACTCTCTGTTTACCGAAGTTTCCTCATCGTCGGTCGTTGCCTGAACTTCGCCGGTCCCTTCGGCCGCGAATGTACCGGGTGTCCCGGTAATACCTTCGTCGCTCCAATAACGAGGTTACAGTTTACGTTTTCCATCTTTACTTCGTCCGTTGTTCTCGGCTCTGTTCGTTTCGCTTATTTCTGGCGGCCCATTTTCGGACGCGGTGGTCACTTTTTCTGCTGCGTTTACACTTATCGGGTGTGGCGATAAAAATCGATATTATTATATATTTTTATTATTATATATTATACAATACCCAAAATTATGGTATTTCCGGAAAATGATGGGTTCCTAGAGTCATTTGTAGCAACTTTTTCCTCAGCGAAAATGTTCTACGAGGCTTCGTTTACGAGTTATTAACGAAAAACACTGACCAATCAAAGACGAGCTCGGTTGGCGCAAGGCAGCCGAGCCAATCAGCGGATCTGGGCGTCGACCGCTCGTTGACTCGGCCGCCTCGCGCCAATCGAGCTCGCCTCTCATTGGTCACTGTTTTCCGTTAATAACTCGTGAACGAAGCCTCGTAGAATATTTTCGCTAAGGAAAAAGTTGCTTCAAATGATCTCAGGAATCCCTCATTTCCCGGAAATACCATAATTTTGGGACACTGTAATATTATTATATTATATATATTATTATATCATATATATTATTACATTATATATATTATTATATTATACACATTATTATTATTATTATTATTATTATTATATATATATATATATATTATATATTATATTATATTACATATATTATTAATCGCAAACAGTATTTACGGCTCTTGCGATTAAACGACGCACAACTTAACGTCGATAAAAAATCGCGAACTTTTCGACTCTGTGTTAATCCTAGCAGTTGCCGGAGTATCTCCCCAATCCGCGAGTGCACACGGTATTAACGTATGCACTTAAAGCGGGAACAAGCACGGGCCGCAATAAGAAGCGGCGAGGCCACCGTGCAATTTATTTCTGTATGAAAATTTACGATCACGCGGAACGTTATGGATAACTGTACCATAATATATGGGGTTCTGGCTCAACCAACGTTGAAATACCGTAGACGGACGGGTAGAATGAATCAGGAAACAAAATACTGTAACTAAATATCATTTTGAAAGTATAACGAAAGCAATTTCTTTCGCGGTAATCAGACCAGAGAACATACATATTACAAGCTCTGTCGAATAGAACGGATAATCCAAGTAGGATAGCGGCTTTACTCTGTTTTCGGTTATTTTTATTATTTACTTATTTTCCAAATTTGAAAACTAAATTTTTCTATTCTTTTATTTCGTTTGTGTTTGAGTAAAAAGAATTGAATAAGTCTCATTCGATGAATACAAAGTGCATTGTATTGGGTTGGCAATTAAGTAATTGCCGATTTCAGTTATAGATGTCTCTCACTCCCATTTTTACGATATCCGTAAATGTTATATTATAAAATTATTATTGTTATTATTATTATGTTATTTTTTATTATCCGTGAATGTTAGCAACTGGACAAATTGAATGCAGCGGTCAAGGAAAAGCGACCAGAATTGGTCGATCGTAAAGGTGTCATTTTCCAGCAGGACAATGC